GGGAGGGGGGAGGAGAGCGAGAGCGATCGGAGAGCGGAGGAAACTCTAGCCACGTCCGTGCGCCCCGGGCCTGTGGCCAGAACTGTGGGGCGGGGGATCTCTGAGCTCCCCCGCTCCCACGCCAAACCAGGGAGTCTCGTCGCCCATTGGCTGGCCCCGTCCCAGAAAAGGAGGGACCGGGGCAGAAGGGAAAACCGATGATGGGGGGGGTGGGCAACCTAGGGGGACCCAGGAGCCGCGCGCCCCACCCTTCCCAGGATGGTTGGAATAGTTGGAGCGGTGACTAGGGCCGCCGCTGGCAGCGGAGGCGGTAGGAGCGGGACTGGGGCGGAGGAATGTTAGCTGGAGAGGAAACGGTCCTAGAATGTTGCTCACTTTTCCCTCTCTTTCTGCTCACCTGCAAGCCTACCTCAGCCTTTTAAGTTCTAGAGCGGGAAGTCAAGGGGAACACGAGCTCCTGAAGTTCTATGCGAAAGGTTGTGTCGGTCTGTGCCCAGTTTTTGAAAGGGAAAGTTATCCACAGTCTTTGCGAAGGAGCCTCTAACTACCCCGCCCCTCAAGTCACCAACCGCTGCTCTAAAAGCGTGAGGGGCTGTTTGGGAAAGGAAGGGAGAGGAAACTTAAGTTAGGGTCGCAGTGGTGGTGAGGGGCTGCAAAGCTTCTCGAGGCTCCTCTTAGGATTATCCTAACAGAATAGGATTAAAGCAGGCAATAAAGTAAAAAGTAAAGCCCTTACCCACTTCTAACCTTTCCCTAAACTTCAGCTTTCCCTGTGTTCATCCCTGCCCCAGAGACCTAGCTGACACTAATCTCAGAGCAGGATCTAGGAATGCCCCCTTCTTTCTAGATCCTAGACGCCAGTGCTTAGCAATCAGAGATCTTCAGTTCCCACCTCCTCATTTGACAGAAGGAACACGTGGGCCTGGGAAAGGCAAGTGACGTGCCCGCGGTTACCTGCAGGTTGGCATTGGCTTGGCACTCAAACCAGGTCCCTGGCCCCCTCTCACACTTTCTACCTTCCATTAGTACAGGGTGGGCACACGAGGCCATCCGCATGTGCTGGTTTTGAGCCTGTGGGCCTGAAGATTAACTACCGACATATTTTCAACCATAGTGAGTACCAAGGAGCAGCACCAAGGAGGACCCTGAGCTCAGAAGTCCAGGAAAAGAGAGGCTGCCCAGGCAACCCCCAATTTGCTCTCTAGCACAGCCCTGGGGCTGTGAGCTTGCTGGAGCAGCACCAGCCCCCTTTCCCCCAGAAAAGCTGCAACCCTTTTCCCTAGTTAGGAAACCAAGCTTGGGTTTCCCCAGCTGGATAGATGATGGTCTTGGCAAAAGACCTATGCTAGTCTGGCATGCGTTATCATTAGGAAGAGTGAAAAACTGCTTGGTGGAACCCAGGGCTCCATCAACCCAGTTGGAGAGTCCTCCAACCCAGAAAGGAGGTGGAGAGCTCACTGTCTGGGATAGTCTGGGATAGTCCCAATGAATAGTTCCCCCAACACTTCAGTAGATGTTTTCTTAGAAACAAATGGCTTTCTTGTTTGTGATTCAAGTAGAATATATAATTTTGCATATAAAATTATAACGTATATAAAATCATAGCTGGTATATAAAATTATCCATAATATATAAAATCATATATATTAGATCTGAAAGATTACCCATTTTAGAATTTAAAAGAAAATGTATTTTGGCAGTTTAAGTTGTTCCATGGAGGATTGATAAGATTTCTAGAAAAAAGAAGAGTGACAGTAGAGAATTTTACTGGACCTTCATAAGGTTCTTACATTTTTTAATTGGTTAGATTATTTCCATAGGTAGCATCCAAGATACAAATTGTGAGTAGCAACCAAAAATATAGTGAAAAGAGGTTTTCTTTCTATCACTGCAGTAATTAATTTCTTTCCCAGGAGACAATTGTTACTATTTTCTGGTGGAATCTTCTATAGAAAGTCTCTGCATATATGATCAAATTTACATATTGCTCAGCATTTTTCTTTTTTTTTTTCAGTCACTAATATATCTTGGAGATTGTTTCATGTCAGTATTCCAAAGTATGGACGTACTATACTTACTCAACAAGTTCTCTGTCAATGGACATTTAGAGATTACAATTTAAACCTTACTTGGGGGCGGGGGTCTGAAGAGGAATTTTAGTGGTTGACTTGATTTTTGTGGTTGCATGCTTGCTAAAAGGAATTAAGTCCATGCCATTTTGACTTCCCATCAGGAAAATATTTCTACTCTTCAAAAAGGAGTGACCTTTTTGAGATTAGTCAAATTATGTTCCAGGGATAGTCTAGTAAATACATGACTCATTTCATGCCTTGTTAACAGAGAATTTTGCAGAAAGGGCCCTACCCTTACATACCTATGTCCAAGAAATGATCTGTATCAACAAGTTTCTCTCCTGTCCTCTTCTTACTAAATGCCAGCTAAATCCAACAGGGGGCGTGCTAAGCCTTGATGAACTAGCTTTATCACCGCGGACTCCCAGAACTGGAGGGAAGTACTTCCCAGAGTACTTCATTTCAGTGAAAATAAGCAGTTTCCCTTCGTTTGGAATTGCATTCAGCATGCCATTGCTTGCATTAAGGGTTGATGCTTTGCATTTTCCATTGCTCACTCTTATTTGCTGAAAGGCACACTGTTCCATTGCGTGCTTTCAGCAGCTGAGGCAGAGACTGTAAAAGGGATAAAGAGGTGGAAACAAACAACCCTTTGGCCCAGAAAAAGAACACCAGGATGCAACCATGTCAGCAGCTGGAATCTCATAGCACTCTCATATTCCTCCATCCGCCCACGTGTTCAACTAAGTGTGACTGCTTACCTTGAGCCAGCTGCGGGGCTGGGGACTTCAAGGAGGATGAATAAAGCTCAGTCCTTCCTACTGAGGAATTCATAGCATAGCAGGAGAGGCAGATGCATAGTTTCAGGTACAAAGTGGAGGGTTCTCCAGCAGCTAAAGGAAGGTTGCCACTTTCTGGAGGAGCGGGAAGGGCTCGCAGAGGGAGGGCATCTAGGTATAAAGGAGGAGAGAGGGTAGAGGTGTGGAAGTGCAGGGCTGAGGGGTGGGTAGCCAGGCATTGCCCATCTCTTACTGTGGTTCTGCCTTAAGTCTTATTGGTTTATATTTAGGAAGATTGAGCAAGGTATGAGGGGTGCACGTGTAATATGTCCCATTCGGTTTTGGATCCATGCTGGGAGAGATCCTAGGGAGACAGTGTGTTTTGTTAATAATAAATATATGGGCCTGACGGGTGTGGCTCATTGGTTGAGTGTCAAACTAGGAACCAGAAAGTTACGGTTCAATTCCTGGTCAGGGCACACGCCTGGGCTGCAGGCTTAGTTCCCAGTAGGGGGCAGGCGGGAGGCAGCCGATCAATGATTTTTAGCATTGATGTTTCTATCTCCCTCTCCATTCCTCTCTGAAGTCAATAAATATATATTAAAAAAAATAATAGTGGGGGTTTGTCCTCGGGGGTGGGAGTGGCCGGGGGGGGTGTCAATCGGGGAAAATGGAGACATATTCAATACTTTAAACAATAAAATAATAATAATAATAATAAACGTTTGGGATGAATTATGTGTCCTCACATCAGAGAAACAAACATCCTGCACAGAAAACCAGTCCCCAGCAGCTGGCTCACAGTTGCCACAGGTGTTCGTCCCCAGATTTACAGGCACTATTCTTGTCCCTCTGACATACATGAAAAGTGCCTACAATGTTTGTATATTTCTTTTCCTCAAAAATTCCTTCCTTTCTCCGTCAAACATTTTCTGGTTTCCTGAACCAGAAAACAATAATAATAATTTTTAAAAAATTGTTAAGTGCTAATTTATGCTAGAAACCACAGCATACAGCAAGTTTAGCTGAGAGTGTTAAATTCAGACTAACACAGAGAAAACATCAAGAAAATATATTAATGAAAATGCCATCAAGCCTTGCTTCCTCCCTTGCTTTCAACATACACTGGTCTCCTATCTTACACATAAAAAAAAAAAAACAGAAACAAACAAAAACTGTAGTCATAATTGGTTTTACCTTCCTGTCTCCTCAAGGTGGGGTCCATCTGTTTTCTTCTGTTCAAATTCAATTGTTTTGTAGAACTGCAGCTACTGGGCTTTTACCCCCAATACAGTCCTTAAACTTTAGCAGTTTATCCAAAAAGTTGGTTTTCTCTCTACCAAAAGAGCATTGAAAAGTCAGTAATAGACCCCATTTTCTACCAATGATCTCTCCTTTTCTAATTTTATTTGAACTCAGCAGGATTTAGCACTGTTGTCATTGAGAGTCTCCTTTATGGTCTTTTGGGAGGCTGTATTATTTTTATTTATTTCTAGTCCGATTTGCTAACTTTTTTTCTTCCTTTTTTTTAAAAAACAGCCTTCAAAACTGCTAAAAAAAAATTTAAACCCCAGCTTTATTGAGGCATAATTTATATGATACACGATTCACCTATTTAAAGTGTTCAATTCAATGGTTTTTAGTACATTCACAGAGTTGGCAACCACAATCAATTTTAGAACATTGTTATCATCCCCAAAATAAACACCTGTCAAATAAAAAACAGACCTGGATTTAGCAAAGGGAGACTTTATTTGAAAGGATTATTGCCTGGGAGGGAAGGGACTATAACAATCAGGGGAGGGGGTCTATTGTAACGGACACAGCGCTGTGACCATAAGATCTGCAAGTGTCTCAAGGGCTGGACAAAAGGGGGGCTTCTTTTACGGAGAGGAGTAAACAAAGCTAAAAAGGACCAGGTGCAGCGAGTGGATGAAGGGGTGGCATGAGAGTAGGTAAGAGAATACGTTTCCCTGAAGCCAGCCTATCCTCAGGAGGACTTGTGTGCTGGCTGCGGCTGAGAGCAGGCCAAAGATCAGGGGCCTGGAGGAAGAAGAAAAGCTTAAATAAAGTTTGGTTAAGAAGCATTTTGTTCTGAAGTGATCAGCGGGGACAAGCAGTTCAATGATCATTTATGAGGCAAAGACTGAGAATGTGGAGGGTCTATGTTAGTCTTTGTCATAAGTAAATAAGAGTGGCATCTGTGACTCACCGGGAGAAGGGTGGTTCTTTGCAGTAAGCTATTTTCCAGAACACAAAAGGGTGGGGAGTGCCTTTAAACTTCAATGTTTTGCAGGAATACAGAGCTCAGGTGAAATTCAACTTTGTTACCCCCAAACCCATTAGCTGTCACTTCCCATTCCCCCTTTTCCCAGCCCCTGACAATCACTGATCTACTTTCTGTCTCAGGCTGCCTATTCTGGACACTTCATATAAGTGGAATCATACATATATGGCCTTTTGTGTCTGGCTTCTTTCACTTGGTATGTTTTCAAGGTTACTCATATTGTAACATATATCAGTACTTCATTCCTCTTAATGGCTGAATAAAATTCTACTGTATAGATATGCTACATGGTGTTTGTTTATTCATCAGTTGATGGACATTTGGGTCCTTTCCATTTGGGGGCTATTATGAATAATCCTGCTATGAATATTCATGCTATTTTCCTTTTTTTTCCCCCTACTTTTAAATTGATTTCAGAGAGAGGAAGGGAGAGGGAGAGAGGGAAACATCTATGATGAGAGAGAATCACTGATCACTTCCTGCACGCCCCCTACTGGGGATCAAGCCTGCAACACAGGCATGTGTCCTGATTGGGAATCGAACATTGAGCTCCTGGTCCATGGGTTGGTGCTCAATCACTGAGCCACATTGACTAGTCCTGTGCTACTTTCTTAATGTAGGTATTTAACATGGGTTCTGTCTCCAGCCCTCTCTCTAGTTCCAGTCACTTTCCCTCTTTTCTTTTCATCTTTTTTTTGGCATCCTCTTTGCAGTGACTCTAACATCAGGCCTCTGGTCCTTTAAATGTTAAAAATATTTAAAACCAGTGGCACAGTCAGACATCAACTCATCAGAAGGGATGCTGTTGTCTATCATGCCCTTCAGTCTGCAGGCCGACGCTCTATCCACTGAGCCAAACCAGCTGGGGCAAATATATCTTATTGATTTCAGAGAGGAAGGGACAGAGAGACATCAACTCATCAGAAGGGATGCTGCTGTCTATCATGCTGAAGCAGAGCTCTGGTGGTCCCTGCTGTGTCTGGCATCACCCAGGGTCCTAAAGTAGTTCTGAATCCCATGAGGCCGGGAGGAGAAATGATTGTTTACCAATATGTCAGCCTCTCCCCTGAATGCCAGGATTTCATCTCCCATTGCTTACAGCATAGCTGGATATCCCACCATCATACCAACTCAATACATATAAACTAAATTCAATATCACTGCTTACATTAAGCATCTGTTGAACAGAACGTTTGTTCGTGGTGTGTAATTTCGTGTGAATGGCTTTTCTTCTCTTAGTTCTCCACCTCTCTCTTAGTTCTTAGTTTTTTCATCTGTAAATGAAAAAAGTGGGGGGTTATGATTTCTAAGGATCCTTCCAGTTCTGATATTCAGTGAATCTATGAAACTAATCTTTGATACTTTAAAAAAAAGTCCTTTGAGAATTTGTAGTACTTCAGAAAAATAATTGTGAACATCATTCACTAAAACAAACATTTAACAAGTATTTATGGAGAGCCTATCAAGGGCTCGTCCCAGTACCAGGAGATGGACACGCAAAGATGGAAATACCTGGTCCTTGCTATCAGGAACTTAGAATCTAATATGAGAGCTAGACATGTAGCTCAACAACTACAAGTTAATGTGATAACAGCCATAAAAAGCACCAAATGTAATAAACAATGATAGCCCAGGGGTAAGAGTACTTCTGTTTACATAAAGGTGTCAGGGGACATTTCAGAGTTGAGCTGTGGCATTTGCCAAGTAGAAAAAAGTAGCTGGGGGTTGGGATTCTAAGCAGAGGAAAGATCTTGGTAAAGGCATGAGGATGTCTGAGTCCACATGGCTAAAGTATAAGATGTTTGGAAGTAGAATGGCTAAAGGTGAGGGTGGGCAAGAAAAAGTTGCCCAGTCACAGTGCACCCTGGAAGTCATGCTGGACTTTATTCTAAAGATTAGAAGGCACTACTTAATGATTGTAACCAAAAGAGGGAGAGGAAACGATTTGAATTTTAGAAAGAAAATTGATGTGAGGGAAGGGGGCTGAGACTAGAAGCAGGGGGGTGGGGAGAGGGCTCTATTAGGAGTTACTGAAAAGTCCCAGCAATAGAAGATGACATCAAGGAATTATTATTAAGGTGTGATAATGGCATTGTGGTTATACTTTTTAAAATAATCTTTATATTTAAGAGATACATACTGAAGTATTTACAGATGAAATGATATCATATCTAGGATATGATTCAAAATAATCCGAAGGAAAGTGGGTGAGATAAAGATAAAATGAGGTTGCCAAAACCGGTTTGGCTCAGTGGATAGAGCGTCGGCCTGCGGACTGAAAGGTCCCAGGTTCGATTCCGGTCGGGGGCATGTACCTTGGTTGCGGGCACATCTCCAGTGGGGGGTGTGCAGGAGGCAGCTGATCGGTGTTTCTCTCTCATCGATGTTTCTGACTATCTCTCTCCCTTCCTCTCTGTAAAAAATCAATAAAATATATTAAAAAAAGATAAAATGAGGTTGGCATGTGTTAACCATTGTTGAAGCAAAGCGATAGGTACATAGGGATTCATTGTACTATTCTCTCTATACCTAATTTCCCCATAATAAAAAATAGTAAGGTTGTTTTGAGGATGAAATATGTTCATACATACAAAGGGACAAGTCAGAATGGTTGATACACCATTGGTGGCAAGAAATGTGCAGAACCCTTTTCCCTTCCTCGCACTTGAACCAGTCAAGAACTGGTATTCGAGAAAACTTTCTGTTAAACTAATTTGTTGCTCACAAGAGGATGCCTCTCCCCACCCCCCTTTCCTTTCAACTTTCCAGTTGGAACCAAGACCAGATCTTTAAAACAAGACACTCTCAATCAAAACAGTGGTTAGCAGCTGTACACATCGCAACAAAACTATTTGCTTTGTGGAATCTGGCCGTTTTCCCAGGAAACGATTTCCATTTCACAATGTAGCAGAACAGGAAGAGTGTGAACTCTTGCTCAGATATAGATTCTTTGTGCTCCACTCAGATTTCCACATTTCCATTGTGCTTTGGGCGTGACAGTCCAGCTGTGTGTTGGTGGAATGACTCACTTTTCCACCAAAACACGTATTTCTATGAATCATCAGAGCTACTGATTGGTGTGAATGAGCCATCAGCACAGAATTGGTTCCTGAATCCATTATATGACTTCAGAGAGATGATTTAAAGTTTTTCCATGACTTAAATTGAAAGAGGCAATCCAATTATCCAAATAATTCATGCTCCAAAACCTTTAATGTTTATAAGTGGTTATTAAGAATAGCTTTTTGATACCATAAGGAACTACAAAGGAAATAGAGGCATAATCTATGTTCTTTTGGTGTTTAATGATCTCATTGAGGAAATAAATACTCAAGAAGTAGAAGGATTTCAAAATAAGTAGATGATATTCATACAAATATATGTAAAATATATTAATCAATGTTTAGGAGCACTAGAATAATAGAGTGATCAAAATGGGAAGAGTGTATCTGGGGAAAAATTTCACTTAAAAAATATTTTAATTATTTAAAATTTACAAAAAATGTTTTTTAGGTCAAAAAGATTTTTTTCTGAGCCATCTGAGAGTAAAGTGATAATCTGCCCAAATATCATGTATTTTCTACAAAAAAGGATGTTTAGATATATAGCCTAGTACATCCATCAAAATCAGAAAATTAACATTGATGCATACCACCATCTGCTCCTCAGCCCATCAAATGTCATCATTTTTCCCAAAAGTGTCCTTATAGCTTAATTATTCAATATGAGATCCCTCCTTGAATATAGCAGTTACCTCTCTTTAGTCTCCTTCCATCAGGGGAATCATTGTTTCCTTAACTTTCATAACTTTGACATTAAAAAATATATTTTTAACTTAATTTTTAGAGAGAGAGAAACGTCAATAGGCCACCTCCCACATGCCTCCTAACAGGGATTAAGCCCACAACCCAGGTATGTGCCCTAACCCCAGAGAATCGAACTGGAAACTTTTTGGTGCATGGGACAATGCTCAGCCAACAGAGCCACATGGACCAGGACATAAGTCTGACATTTTTGAAGATTAAAGAATAGTTATGTAGAATGTTGCTCAGTTTGGGCTTGTCTGATATTTCCTTGTGATTGGATTTAGGATAGTTGTCTTTGGCAGAAATAGCACAAAAGGGATGCTATGTTCTTCTCATTGTACTCTATCGGGTGTTACATAATTTTGATTTGCCCATTGTTAGTGATATGAACCTTGATCAGTTGGTTGAGGTGGTGTCTATTGGACTTTTCCAGTGTAAAGTTACTCTTTTCCTCTTTATCATCTAGAACTATTTTGTAGGATGGTATTTTGAGACTAAGCAAATATTCCACATTCCAATTCCTTGAACAGCACAAACTATCATACTCACCCAAGATGAAAGAAATAGTTTGGGTAGCTCTATAACAGTTAAGGACATTTAATTTGTAATTTAAAAGTCTCAGTAAAAGAAATCTCCAGGTCCAAATGGTTTTAGTGGAGAATTCTACCAAACATTTAAAGAATTTAACACCAATTCTACACAATCTTTTCCAAAAAATAGAAGAGTTGGGATCCCTTTCCAACCCATTTTATATGACCAGTATTACCCTGATATCAAAACCAGGCAAACAAACAACAACAAACAACCTAGACAGACAGTACAAAAAAAAAAGGAAGAAGAAGAAAGAAAGAAAGAAAGACCCAGACAGTGTCCTTCATGGAAATATATTTTTAAAAAATCCTTAACAAAACATTAGCAAATAGAATTCAACAATATGTAAAAAAGAATTATATACATGGCCAAGTGGGGTTTGTTCTAGGGTTGTAAGGCTGATTCAGCATTTAAAATTCAATCAGTATAATCCATCATTAACAAGGTAAAGAAGAAAAAAATAGATCCTATCAATTGATGCAGAAAGTGCATTTGACAAAAATCCAACCCCTATTCATGATTTTAAAAACCCAGCTCTGCCCTAGTCAGTTTGGCTCAATGGATAGAGCATTGGCCTGCAGACTGAAGGGTCCTGGGTTTGATTCCGGTCAAGGGCACGATCCCCCTTAGGGGGCATGCAGAAGGCAGCCAATCAATGATTCTCTGTCATCATTGATATTTCTCTTTCTCCCTCTTCCTTCTTATCTGAAATCAATAAAAATATATAGTAAAGAAAAACACTCAGAAAACGAGGAATAGAAGGGAATTTCCTCAACTTGATAAAAACATCTACCAAAAACTCTACAGCTAGCATCATATTTAATAATGAAAGACTGGATTCTTTCTTCCTAGGATTGGAAACAAGTTAAGGATGTCTGCTTATATCACTCCTATTCAACATAGGAAGAACTAGCCAGCACAATAAGGCAAGAAAAGAACATAAAAGGCACACAAATTGAACAAAACAGAAATAAAACTCTACCTTTGTGTAGATGGCATTATAGTCTATCTAAAAAAATCTCAAAGGATGGGATTTACAAAAGTTTTTTGTTTTTTTTAACAAAAACTCCTAGAATGAATACATGAGTTCAGCAAAGTTATAGGATATACAATAAACACTCAAAAATCAATTGTATTTCTCTATAGTTGTAGTAAACACATTGAAACTGAAATTAAAAATACAATGCAATTGCCCTGTCCAGTGTGGCTCAGTTGGTTGGTAAACTGAAAGGTCACTGGTTTGATTCAGGTCAGGGCACATACCCAGGTTGTGGGTGGGTTCCATCTCCCTGTGATTACATTTCAGTTTTGTTTTCTTTCCTTCAAAAATATTTATTAAGTATATTTGAATGCCCGTCATTAAGCTAGGCAGTGAAAATATAACAGGTCAAGTTAGATCTATCTCTTGACCATTGAATCAATCAGATCCTTTTAACTGTAATTTTCCAATGTATTTCTTCACTCCAGGTCTCACCTCCTTTCCCCAAGTCACTAGAAATCCAATATGGAAACATTTACCAGATTCTCTACTTTCAGAAACCTCCTTGAACTAGTTTTTTGTTTTTCTGGGCAAATATTTTAGGTCTCTGCCCTGTGCCAATCAAGCCTTCCTTTATTCCCATCTCAACTTTTCTCATGTTTTCTAAATTTTATTTCTTTTAGAATTGTTTGTTTTTATTAAATTTATTGGGGTGACATTGGTTAATAGGATCATACAGGTTTCAGGTTTAGATTTCTATGATACAAGATCTGTATATTGCACTGTGTGCTCACCACCCAAAGTCATCTTCTGTCACAATATATTAGGCTCCCTTCACCCCTCACCCCCAAATTTTATTTCTTTAAGAAGCCTCTTTCATGGCTTTCTTAACTTCCACGAGTTAAAGGCTTTTTGCCTCATGTGTTGGTCACAAGAGCCTTGAGGTTTGCATAAAATGTCACATGCCTTAAGCTCATTCTTATCTACTTATGCAT